ACAATATTATTATTGATTTAGAAAACAACTTTGAGTGATAATGCTGTAAGAAGCAATGCTATTTAGAATTAAGTCAATTATTAATCATTAAATTCGAGATTAATAGACAATAGACAACAATTAATAGACAACAATAATAACTCTGAGGGAAGAAACAGTTTTCCTGTTACGAGAAGGAGAACAAAATTTTCCTATTACTTTCAAATTATTAATAAAAAAATAAATTCGAGCAACTTATTTAGAATGCTGTTTTTTTTTTTTTTTAATGCTCTTGTCACTTTCTCCTCCTTCTCGATCCCAATTAAATGATTTTTATAATTTTTGGCTCATTTATACCATAAATAAAGTCGTTTATTAATGATTTTGTGGAATTTTGTTACAAATGTTGTACGATGGAGTACAAATTGGCATGAAATTTCAAACGATTTCACATGCTGTCAATTTGGACATGATCATAGAATTTGCTTTGTTTGTTTCTTTCTTGTCGTGTTTTTTTGATTGATCGCATGATAATAATTTCGTCCCCATTAAATAATATTTAATGACGATACAAGTCTGTGATGTAATTCAGTTGTCGATTGGATTGGTTCTCCTGACGATTGAAACGATTCTTATATGGAGACATTGTTTCTTTTAACAATTGTAATAATTCTGCTTGTTCTGAATGAATTTGATTTATTTTCAACGAATGCGAGAAAATTTCAATCAAATCGCATTCCTGTCTTTTCTTTGCGCCTTGAATACGCTTTAACAGGAAGAGTGAATTTTTTCCGGATGATCTTTCAATGGAACTAGCTATGTGATGCTAATTCTTAAAGAATGACGGACATAGGAAAGCATTGTTAGAAATGCTGAATAAAAATTGGTTCGAATGCTCTAATTTTCCGATTTAAAAATAATCCCAAAAAATAATTTCTCAGATCAGCAATGTCTCCATTTATTATTTATTGTAAATTTATTCTACAGTACTAGTTGTGTATAATATTATTTAATGATATATACTCTTTTGTAGAAATAATAGTTCTAATATAAGATTTGTTATATATTTTTTTGCAACTCTTTTATAATTTTTAAATATATAGAGAATAACATTATGATAAGAATATGTGAAAATATATATAAAATTTATATATATATATATTTTTATTTTTTATATATGTATTTTTATTTAACATATGTACTCCGATTAATTAGTGTCACTACTTGTGATCCGTTTTTTTAATTTGATTCATTTTTAACATTTATGTTATGAAAGCAAACTTTTTAATACGAAGCATTCAAACTTCATATTTTAGATTTATAAATTTTGTTGTATTGTATCATCTATCACTATGGCTACACAACTTGTATCTATCAAGATAATTAATTTAACTAATTTCTCTAATTTAATGATTAATTTTTAAAAATTTCGGTAATAACTAAGAATAACTAATTTTTAGAGAAAGTAAAACATATAAACACATGTATAAAATTTAAATTAAAGAGCTTGAATATATGTGTGCGTATATATTAATATAAGTAACTAATATTGTGATCCAGTCTTGATATATATACCTACTATTAAATAAAGTAAAGCCATACACGTATGTGTTATTTAAATTTGCCACTGACCCAGTTAGAACGTATAGTGAATGTTTTCTATGTTAGTGGAACGTGTGGAACGATCGTCCATTGGCAATCCTTCTATGACGATGTTCCTTTTCTTCAAGTTTTTTCCTGTATTAAGTACTAAAACAATTAAAACTCTGTAAACAATTAAAACTGTCTGTGGATATTTATACAAACTCATATCTTTAAACGTATAAAATTAAAGAACCTGAGCTGAAATTTGTTTTATCCATTAAATCTTGTAGTAATTACTTATATTTTGAATACTTTATAAAATTTTCTCTGTTTAGTTATTTTCTATTCATTTTTTATAAATGCATAAATGTCCACAATTCCCTGACAAAGTTCTCTAATCTTTTTAAATATTTTGGTTGTATATAGCAATATGTATTTAACTAGACAGTTTAAAGCATTTTAATCAATGTATTCAAAAAGTTTCACACATAGCATCTAAATTATTATTTTTTATTAGTTAAGTAAAATAGTATTATAATGTAATATTTTCTGTATATATGTATTTGCTCTTGCTAATATTTTCTCTTTAGAAAATTGGTTTCTCTTTACAAATATTGTTTAATGAATATAATTACATAGTGTTAAAAATAATCAGCAAAATAAATAGTTTTTGAATTATTAGTTAGATGATTTTTTAATCAGTTGTGCAACATATATTAAATTAACAAAAAATGTATTATAAATTAACATAATTAATTAATTAATGATAAACAGTGATACTTGATTTAACGTAAAAAAATGTTTAGTTAAATCTGTGTGATTCTAATGGTCTAATTGAACACGATATTTTGTTTTATAGGAATCTTTTCTATATAAATTACCTACGTTCTTTCTTACCAACCATGACTTGAATATGAATTAGTTAAGATAAAATGTTGAAGCAACTGGTATTAATTTTGCATTCGTTTTTCAATTTGACATTATGCTTTTCATGACTAACATTATTTTATTTTCATTACTAAACCTATTGACATTTTCATATACAGTAGTCCTCACGTAACTGACCACACTTTGGTCTCGATTGTTGGTCAGTTACGTGAGGGCTACTGTACTTATTTCTACCGTATTTATAATCATGAACAGAAAATGAAAGATGTAAGACAGTTTCCTTCTTTTAAAACTAAATAATACATATCTCATTCTTGTCTGTCGCATTTTTTGCAAATTATAGAGTTCTCGACATTTGCCAAATACATATTTTATTAGTTTTATCCTTGTAATATCTTATTTGACAAATTTTTTTATACGTATGAAACTCTACTTATATTTGTCGTTTTATTCTGTATTTCCTTTTGATTTACCTCTTGTAATTCTTGAAATTCTTGAAATTCAGAGGCAAGTTGAGTTCTTCTGGCAATACCTCTTGTAATTCTTGAAATTCAGAGGCAAGTTGAGTTCTTCTGGCATTACCTCTTGTAATTCTTGAAATTCGGAGGCAAGTTGAGTTCTTCTGACAATTGAAGTAAAAATGCTTGCCTCCAAAATTGTTTCTTCAGTCGTTTTTTTTTTTTTTTTTATATACAAAATGAAATTCCACGCTAAATGAAGGATATTAAAAAAGATTTGCAGAGACCATCTCCATGATTTTGATTTTACACTATATAAACCATCTACACCGAATCTACTATTATAAAACCCTAAAATTGTTTCTGATATATGCACAATCATTCTTTTCCATTTCTTTTCAATTGTTATAAATTCATGCATTGAACTCAAAACAAGCATCTTTTTTTTTCGGTAAGCAGAATTATTAATCTCAGTTTTGTTATAAAACATGCTATATTACCTTTTGTTTATTTGGCAAATTTTGGCAATTTCCTTTTATTAGAACGAATAGTTCCAACCACAGTGAGTTTTTTCGCTAATAATTTTGTGGCCATTGATACGCTTGTAAAAAAATTATTTGTGATTATATTTTTTCCGCAGCCTGCGAATTGTTCTATTAATTTGAGAGCAATAAATTCCCCAAGAGGAATTAAAGATTCTCTTTTTTCATCTTTTCTTAAATGTGGAAACCCGTTTAAAATGTATTTTTTACGTCAGTAGCTAATTAGAATTTAATGCCAAATTTATCTGGCTTATTCTGTGTAAATCTACACTTATTGTTATATCCTTTCTTTCAGAATTATAAAATTGTACTGTTTCTTTTAATTTCGAGGTCTGCATTTATAGGTTCAACAAACCACACTTCTGTCACGTATTGTTCTATCTTATTGCGACTTCTTCAGATTCAAAGGCTGTATCAAAGGCTGATTCCGCTTTCAGTCGAAATTATGTTTCATTTAGAGATTGCCTTATAACTATTGACTTTATAGCTATGCGTACATTTAGATTTGGATCTTTCGAGAAAATAGCGTTACAAAAGAGTTTAGATGTTTCAACCAATCAAATGACCGGTCGTGGTAGACAAGACAAGTTACATATACAAGTATTTCGCAAAAAAAGGGGAAAGGAATATTGAAAAATTTATATATATTATAAAAATATTATATGACATATTATATTACAAAAAAAGTCCTGAAGTTAAATCACGATGTAGTAACATTGCATGTGTAAAATTTTGAACGAAAGTTTGAAAACGATTATTTGACACTGGTGTAGTAAGCTTAGTGTTAATATTAATTTCATATGATTCTAATAATGATAATTTGATCTTTTATTTTATAGGGTCGACATACCAAAACTGGTCAATTGGCGGCTATCAAAGTTATGGACGTCACAGAAGTAAGTAATTGTCTTCAAAATATTTTAATTCTAATGACTGCGTTGCTATAACAATTATGATAACAGTAGTAACAACGATAATAATAATAATAGTAGTAGTAGTAGTAGTAAGATAATGATGATAATGAGAATAATAAATACTGAAAATATTTTCGTAATTATTTATAATAGGCGTGACTTTACTGATTTCAATGATCTTGAAATATATTGTTACCATCATCATTTTGACAACATATTTCAATGTCAGTGAAATCGGTGAGATCAACCATATTCTAAGTAATTACTATATATAATTTTTATACTTCGTAATATGTTTTAATCCTTTGCGGTCGTATGTCTACTCTCAGCCACCACAGCAAGGAATCATTCTTATACTGTATTCATCCATGTATCAATTTACACTTTCTCTGAACGAATCTGAATGTCTAAAGAACTTATTCACGAACCAATACGGTGCTCCTATCAATTGGAGATAACGAAACCCAGTCTAAACAAAAGCTGTCTGTCACCTGTCACTCGCCATGCAAGACGCCGTGGCGAGTCGG